GGTTCTGACCCGGTTCTGACCCGGTTCTGACTGCCTCTGACCCGGTTCTGACCCGGTTCTGACCCGGCTCTGGAGCCGCAGCGAGATTAGAAACCGCACCTGGAGCCGGACAGGTTAATGAGGCTGCTGCAGGAAGCCTAAGAGCTCCTGACCTCTGACCCCTGCTGGGCTCCACGGTTCGGACCGGATCCACTCCAGTCCGGTGCGGCGGCCATGTTGTGAGCCTCTCTCTCTCCGTGCTGCAGGAGGAGTTCGTCTGCGAGCCGCCCATGATAACGCGCCACACCTCCAAGATGTTTGTGATGGAAGGTCAGGAGGTCAGCCTGCGCTGTAAGTCCATCGGGGATCCGGAGCCGTCCACGCACTGGGTCAGCCCGGACGGGAAGCTGATCGGGAACACGTCCAGAACAGTCTGCTACGAGAACGGGTCGCTGGACATCCTGAAGGCGTCCGTCAAGGTGGCCGGCGCTTCCCTGATTCTGATTCTTCCTGAATTTGTCTTCCACTCTTCATGAGTTCCTGATGTTTCCTGTTCCTAAGGATTCTGGGAAGTTTACGTGCATCGCGTCCAACGCAGCGGGCGAGGCCACCGCTCCCGTTGAGCTGGTCGTCAACGCCTCACCACACTTTGGGCCCAAACTGGAGCCGGATCCGGGGCCCTCAGACATCCCCACATCCATCAAATCCAACGTGAGCGGGGGCCAGCCCAGGGCCGACCCGCAGCGGGTCAGCGTGTCGGACCTGACCTCCAGCTCCGCCCTCATCCGCTGGCCTCCACAGAACCACATCCCAGGGGTCCGCATGTACCAGATCCAGTACAACAGCTCCACTGACGACATCCTGATCTACAGGTGAGGGATTTCAGGCGTTTCAGGTGTTTCAGATTAATAATCCATGATCATCCTAAAAGCTTCAGAGTAAAACCATTTATAAGAAGCGTCGTCACACTGTGTGAGTTAGCTATTCCATTCCACAGCTCTGGAGCATGTTTAATGACAACACGATTACAGACGTGACACTTCTAGCTGTCCTTTGGATCTTATGTTAGCAATTAACACAGCTAACATGGCTAATGGTCAGTGGTGGACACCGCTAACTACAAAGTACGTTGTGCTAACCCTAATATGCTATTCATAAGCATTAGCTAACAGTTTAGTTTAGCATTAAAATGCCATACCAACATTCCTGTTAGCTGCTGAGGTTAAACTGAAAACACTTTCTCTTCTAGAAGCTTCTTACATTTCCTGCTGTTCGTCAGACGAACACTTTGAATTTTTTTCACTCAGTCACATCTTCCACACTAAAGAGAGTTGCTGCTGCAAACTGGTGGTTT